ACTATGAGGAAAAATTGACATGTGGCAAAGCTCTTTGTAAAGAATTTGCCATGTGGCAAATCCTATGGAAGAACAATCAACATGTGGCAAATCTTATAGTACACTCTTTGCAATTATATTGTGTATAACCATCACAAAATGAATATCAAAAGACACTACCTATAAATTAAATATGTATTTATACGTATAATGAAAAACTTTTCAATTTCCAATGAAAAGAAGAGATTCTAAACTAAAAAAAATTACTATCTCATTTCCCGGCCTTTATAAAAGCATATGGTCTATGAAAATTTTATTATGAGATACATACTATACGTATCTTTTGAGAACTTTGGTCAATAGTCAAAAATTCACTTAAAACATAACACATCGCTGCATTTACATTTGATAACATTACTTTTGTACTTCATACATTAATTATTCAAAATGTGGTTGAAGTCCTATACAACAACATCCAAGCCTTAATGCCAAATTAAAAGAATTTGGAGTCGCTAACTCATATTTTGATTCATGTCATATGATGTGATTAAATAATATCAGTAGTCGTCAAACACCTACCACATCACTCTCTTCTTTTATTCTGACTTGGAACATACATGATATAAAAAATGATTTCATTGCAGAGTTGATTGAAACCTTAAAATGTTTTTAGAATAGATTGGTTTTAGTTTCAAATGAGATTGGAGTACATTTAAAAATCAGCTCAGACCAGACCAGACTCTGAATATATTAAGATACACGAGTTTTTACTTTTTACCGCTTTTAGTTCCCGACTATTATGTCTATAACACTTTTGGTACTCAGATTTCAATTATTTTCAATTTGACATTTTTAGCCTTTCCCATATATATGAATTTTCGCAATAAGTGAAGACTAAAGATGTTTCTATGATAATAGTTGAAGCAAAAAAAATGACATTTTCAAAAAAGTCGCAGTACTAAATATGAAAAAAATAAAAAAGTTGTATGAAAATTATACTTCGCGCAATAATAAAAGGGCTAAAAATAGAAAAAATACAAGTGAAATACCAAAACGGTCATTGACATAATAGTCGAAAGACTAAAAGTAACAAAAAATTCTAACATACACACATTTGAACTATCATACCGGTTAAGGTGAAACTTAAACAAATCATATTTGACTACACTTTAACAGAGTTAATCACATTACAAATGTTCATCCCAAAACAAAACTATTCACCCAATTCAACTACACAAAAAAAAAAACTATGAACACAAACTATTTCTCATTATTAAGCAATTAATCAAAATCAAAATTAAAAAAGTTACACAACCACAAGGTCCTACCACACCCCCTATACTAACTATTTATCGTTATTAAAGCAGTGATCCCATCTAATTTTTATACAGACTATATAACTAAAAGGGGTTTGTCTTCAAATAATACTAATTTAAAGCATTTGGACAAAAAAAGAGACTTTTCTTTTAAGTTCCAAAAATAAGACTAAATAATACTTAAGAGACTGTTACACCCTTACTAAGCCCAAATCCACTGGCTTGCTACAGTAACCCGCCACACTGACCAAATGTGCAGTGACCAATGTTACAGTTACCAATGACATAATTACAAAATCCGCCAGTGACCAAAATCCATCAATGACCAAAATCCGCCAGTGACAAAAAACCCGCCAGTGACCAAAATCCATAAATGACCAAAATCCGCCAGTAACCAAAAAACCGCCAGTGACCAAAGTGACTCTCGACCCGCAAAAAGTTATCGTGACTCTGATCCGCACAAAGTTACAGTGACTCCGACCTCCACAAAGTTACAGTAGTGACTTCGACCTCCACAAAGTTACAGTGACTTCGACCCGCAGTGACCAATATTATAGTTACCAAGACACCAAAAAACAATCGCCTCAGTAACCACCCGAGCTCTAGTGACTACCGATCAGTGAGTGACCATCACCACCGCAGCCAGTGACTTCCAATCAGTGACAAATTGTCCCAGTGACAAATACACGTCCAACATTGATCACGTGTTTTACATTTATAAGTGGTGGTCCAGTAACTTAATCTTCAACCCAAGTGACACCATTAGTTGCCCCTGACCTGCCCCACTCCTCCGCTTACCTCACTGCCACACCACGCCACCTGATCGGATTTTACACACTCAGTGACGACACCATCTATGGTGTCACTGTAAGTCTATAACCCCTGTTTCACTGTATCACCTCAAACACCACTGTCCAGTGCTACGACACCGCCAATCGCAGCTGGCCAACCAGTAAAACAACCGTTGGCTCCTTCCCAACCTCTATCACTACGCCTTACAATGGCGAAACCACAATACGAAGTGAAATCAGCCCAAACAGTGAACCTAACCCTATACCCCCCAAATTTCAAGAAGATATCATTGAAAATTCCTTCAAAACCCTAGCCGTCAGTCCCTACGCAATCATGACCGCCGTTGTAGATCCGAAACTTGAGCCACCACAACTGTTGTGGAATTTAGGAGTGTTCAGAAGCGAAAACGCAGCCTCCACCACCGCCGATTGGGAAATTTAGACGCCTCCGCCACTTCTATTGCCACCGATCTAAAATTTAGACATCTCCAATGGCTTGTTGCTGAAAATCATGGTCGGAGTTTTCCAGTCGAAGAAGAAAGAAGCGGGCGTAGAAGAGACTACTATTGTTTATTTCCTCCGTCAGGGAGCAGTCTTCCCTCATGGAGCCGCCGTCTGAGTGCCTTTGTCGAAGAGAATCGGAAAAGCTGCGATGGAAGAGGGAGGAAGTCTGGGAGAAAAGAAACGAACGATGCAGTAGGAAAGAATGCACTATGTGCAAAAGGTTAAATTTGTAAATTAACAATAAGAAGGGTCACATTTGAGGAAAAACGGATAAGCATTCTCACTTTTGTCTTTAGGATTCCCATAGGTATTATTCCCGTCATTCTTTCTAACTAAAATCTAAACTCTCATTTGTTTATGAACAATATACTAAAATCACGAATAATACCACTATTGTTTCTAAAAAAGAATCAGCCAATTAATTATACGCTAAAAATAGTGATTAAGTCATATATATAATTTATCATTGCATAGCTTATACCAATACAAATTATTTGACTAACTACATTCTCAAATGAAAGAAAAGACGAAATAGACTTACTCAAATGAAAGAAAAGACGAAATAGACTTACCTAATATTCCTCATTCAGCCATAAAATGAATTTTAACATTGTTTGTTTCATTGATAAGAGCATCTACAATGCAAAAACGTTAACGGTGCATACATGGCATGAGAAATAACCAATTAAAAAACAATAAATAGAATATCTCTCTCCTTATTTGGAGAATCTTACATCATTTTGGTAAGTTTTTCTTCACAATGTCTAGATGTAGACATTGTGATTGACATTGCAGACAAAAACTTACCAAAAACACATAAGACCGTGGAAAAAAAGAGAGAGAAATGTATAAAATCAATATTTTGTGTCTATCTCTCTCATGCCACATGTGCACAATGGACATTGTAGCATTGGAGATGCTCTAAGAGAACTCACCTCACAATGTCAAAGTTATTGTGCTGAAATAAAACATGAAAATAAGCATCAACCATACTAACCTTCATATAAAATAAAGTTGGATACAAATATATACTACGTATTTAAATTTAATCCAATGACGGATAGAATCATAGGTTCGAAAAAATTCATTGCGACCGATTTATAAAATGATCATATTCTTAATACCAACAAACATAAAATTAACACCAACAAGCATATAAAATTGATTAGAAAAGGTGATAATTTCACATTCTTCCTTTTTAAATAATTTCTACGACACGAACAAGCAATAAAATTATCGTGCGATGCACGGGTACACACACTAGTAATATAATAAAGCAAACTCCTAAAGAATTCTTTAGAGGAATTGTTGACATGTGGCAATATCCTATGTATAAAAAATGACATGTGATAAAACAATAAATTAAAGAAAAAACTATTCAACTTCCATAAGTCCATAACTCTACTCTTATGTATTCCAATATTATAGATATGTTTTATATGAGTATTAATATATGTGTATATATTTGTTATAATGTTCAATATAAAATTAGGTAAAATTTTGCACTCACCGGTATTACAAGATCCAAATACTCAAAAATAAAAATAATTAACAATTTTTAGCCACTTTTAAAATAAAAATATTACTTCTATTTCTTTTCTCATCAACTATGGGAGATTCTCCCTTATTCGGGGGTTTTTAAAAATTGTTTCTTATTTGTTTTCAAAATATGATAATTATTACATCCTTTTTCTTTAATAGTATCCTTTTTCTCGGACATATCCTTCTTCTTTCGTTCACTAAGTTTGTGTAACACCGTCCCCAAATATATTTACTTTTATGTAAATAATGTATTGAACCTTATTAAAGGATTAATGAATTTACGAAGTTGTAAATTTTTATTATTTCTTTCGCGTGAATAGTAAATTGCACGTGGGACCCACACCGGGAGCGGGGGCCGCCCGATATCCCCGAGATCACATAAATTATCATTATGGGTCGAAATAACATTTATATGGTGGTGGACATCTTATTTGGCCATGGGAAGGCCTGGGGTTGACCGATTGGTCAAAAGAAGCCCAATTACCGGTACCGACAATTAAACAGATAACAGCCCGAAAATGAATTTCGGAGACTTCCAAATTAAAGTTTTGGAATATATATTATTTCAAAAGGGAGTTATGATGGGGAACACATAATATATTTTATTTTACCCGATAAAATAAATTATGATTAAAACAGTCCGAAAAATACAACTTTCGGGACCGATTGTACACACCGGGACACAAAGGGATGACCTCCCACATGAGTGGGGGCCACCCCACGTTTTTTTGTGCTGTAACAACAAGGAAGGGCCTAGGTTGACAAAGGATTGAGTGGAGGAAGGTGCAAGGGGGCCCTTTGACCTCACTCATTTGCCAAAGGAGACAAAAAGGACACCCCAACCTCTCCCCTATGCATTATTTCGGCCTAGCTACCAAAGGAGGAGGAAGAAGAAGCTCTCCAACCTTTCTCCATTGCTGCAACTCGAGCTCAAGCAAGAGAGGTCCAAGGAGTGGGATTAAAGAAGGAAAAAGGCTAGGAAAAGTGTGTAAATTAAGGTAATGACCTCATTATAACTTTTCCTTTATTTTTCTCCTACCATATGAGATATATATCATGTGAAGAATCCTTAAGAGGGTTCTACATGTTATAAGTATGGATTTATGGGTTGGGAAGTGATTCTATGTCCAAGAACGGTCTTAGAAGCCAAAACGACCGGTTCACCGGAAAATAACCTTTTTGAGGTTATTTGTATTAATATGGGTTTTATGATTATAAAACCTTGTTAGGAACTTGTGAAAGGTATTTCAAGTGATTTCACAAAGTTGGAAAAGTCGCCGGAGTTGTCGCCGGAGTTGACCGAAAGTCGCCGGAGTTTCACCGGAGTTCAACCAAGAGGGGTAGAACTTCATAACGCTAGTTCAAGGTGAGTGGACGGCTTAATATCTTATAACTTTTGGGTTAATTATGAGATTACCTAAATAAATGTTATTTGTTTTCATAATGATGTTTAAAAGATATTTAAACATGTGATTAGCCAACATTATCAAGTGTATGAAAAGAATTAATTGATTATGCATGAAATATGATATGAGAGATTATATATAATGCACATTAGCTTGAAGTGTAAAAGAAGCTCAAATGAGTATTATTGACTTAATTATATGATGATTAAGTTGATATGAACAAGGCTTGAATTGGCGGTCAACGACAACGTTGACCGATGGATGATGGATTAATTAATATCGGTTGATGTTAGTTAATTATACATTTATTTAAATGCATGGCTTTGCATGGATTGTGATACATAAGACTTATGTATTGGATTAGTTATGAGTAACTAAGGATGATATAGACTCTATCTAGGTTGATAGGAGGTTGATCATAGGAAAACTTGGTGGAGGACCCTAGTACTTAAAAAGTACTTAACACTCAAACTTGGTGGAGGACCCTAGTACTTAAAAAGTACTTAACACTCAAACTTGGTGGAGGACCCTAGTACTTAAAAAGTACTTAACACTCAAACTTGGTGGAGGACCCTAGGACTTAAAGTCCTTAACACTCAAACTTGGTGGAGGACCCTAGTACTTAAAAGTACTTAACACTCAAAACTTGGTGGAGGACCCTAGGACTTAAAAGTCCTTAACACTCAAACTTGGTGGAGGACCCTAGTACTTAAAAGTACTTAACACTCAAACTTGGTGGAGGACCCTAGGACTTATGAGTCCTTAACACTCACAAACCGGTGGAGTATCCAAGGATTATGATCCTAAAACTCATAGATTGTGATATACAATTAGGGACAAGGAGGAGTCCTATACACTCATAGGTATATGGGTGGGTTGGGGTTTTTAGTCAAGAATATTGACTATTACTATTTTCCCGAATAAAATGGTGATCCACGGATCGGATATTTTCCAAGTATATATATACTAATAAGCATTTCATAACTTGGGGGAAAGATTATTTATTTAAGTATCACCCTATGTTTGGGTCTTATACTTGAAACGCTAGTTATTCTATATTTAGCCTGCTACTCGCTCGGTACTTGTGCTGACCCCTTCGGGGGGCCCCACCATTTTCAGGTTGAAGCTAGAGCTTGCTACTTGCACCTTCTCACGGGTGATATCACATCAGGAAGACGTGGTTCGTGCTTCCTTATTTTCTTTCAAACTACCGAACACTTGCTCATGGATATTTGTTTTACTATAAACACTTTTTGGGCTTGCATGCCCATGTTGTTGGCCGGTTGTGGCTCATGACTTACCGTTGAATATTTCCGCTATTCATTGGTTTAAATGTGATGTTGTTATGTATGTTTACTACTGAGTATGGATGAATTGTTTTCTCGAACGCCTTGTGTAATTAAGTGAGGTTGACCCGTGGGTGACGTCACTTAGTTATACGGCGGTTGTACACGCGCTTGGATTGCGGTCTGGGGCGTGACAATTAAGTGGTATCAGAGCCATCTCAGTTCTAAACTATATAACCAACCTCTCACAGGAGATTTTACAAAAGAGTTTTCACCGAAAACCATGAGCACTGTATTTTGACGTTTATGGGACTATTGGAGCTTAAGTTGCAAGGCCTCTAATTGTTAAGACGGTACCCTTAACAATTGGTATGGTAGTGACTTGGGCCAATACGCGTCTATAACGTTCTTCCGTCAATTGACATTTATAGGAGTCTAATGACTCACCCATATTTCTTTCAGAAATTGGGGGCAGGCGAATGAGGACCAGGAACAATCCGAGGGGGCAGGCGCCGGTAGCATCCCAAAGGGGAAGCCGGGCTGCATCTCGGGGTTCGAGAGGAGGCCGGGGAGGCCGTGGAAGCCGTGGAGGTCATCAAGCTCAAACTGTGAGTGATGGCCATGTGAGCTCGGTGTATGAGACCAACACCGAAGACTACGACTCAACCTACGTGCCAGAGACGGAGCATGAAGAGACCCCGTATGATGGGGGTGACACGTACACCGATGATGATGATGATGAAGAGAGTGATGCCAAGTTCGCCCAAATGGGCGAATTGCTTGAATGGTATCAAAAAGAAAAATTGAGGAGGGACCTTAGGCGCCAAGCGAGGTGTGGCTCTCGCGGTGGTTCGGGTCAAGGGAGCCGGGGAGCTTCCGTGGCCACCCCAGCGGCGTCACATGGTGGGCGTGAAGGAGGTTTTGTTGTGAGAATCTCCAAGTACCTCAAGGAGGCTAGGGCCTTGGGGTGTAGGTCCTTTGACGGCACCGGTGACATTACCGTTGCCGCCGATTGGATCAAGAAGGTGAAGGATGCATCAAGGGACATGCAAATCACACCGGACGTGAAGTTGACTGTCGCTTCACGGCTCCTTGAAGGGATAGCTTCTACGTGGTGGGAGAGCGTGGAAGGGAAGTACCATGGGGAAATAACATGGGCGGATTTTGAGCTAGAGTTCTATGCTCAATACTACTCCGAGTACGAGGTGAATGTGAAACGGAGAGAGTACACTAACCTCAAACAGAAAGAGGGCGGAACAGTTAAGCAACTGGAACAAGAGTTTAGAACCTTGGCTAGGTTCTTGCCGGAGTACGCGGTTGATGAGAACCGCATGACGGAGCACTTTTGGGATGCCCTACTCTTGGACATCCGTGACCGAGCTACGTACTCGCGCCACATGACCTTCAGTGAGGTGGTGGAGCAGGGCCTTCTCGGGGAGGCCCAATGGAATGAGAGAAAAGAGAGAGACGCCGAGGAGGCGAAAAAGAGGAAATGGCAAAGTTCGGGGCCGCCCGAGCAAGCACGGAAGGATAAGCACGGTGGAGGTGGCGGTTCGTTCAAGACACCGGCACCACCGGCAAAGAAGAACAGGGATGCTCGGTGGCATGCATCCTCCACACAAAGGACGGGGCCTCCAAAGTGTGCCAACTGTTCGAAAAATCATTTTGGGAAGTGCAATGCACCCCCAAGGTGTTATCAATGCGGGAACACGGGCCACATGAAGGCCAATTGCCCACAATTAGGGGGAGGAGGAGCTCCGGGATCCGGAGGAGGAACCATGACGGGAAGAAACCGTGCGGGCCCGTCAAACGGCGGTACGGGAAGAGGCGGCGCGTCCACAAGCCACGCCGCGTCCGTAAATCAAGGCGGGACCCAAGCACGAGTGTACGCAATGACCGAGGCGGATGCGCGAGCAAACCCGGACTCCGTTGCAGGTAATACACTTATTTTCCTGTATTTCTAGGCTTATTTGGGTCATATAAGTTATTGGGTTTGGGTGCGGGCCACCCCGGGGTCAAACCCCGCGAATTCGGGGCGAAACGGGCTAAAAACAACTACGCGCGATCGCGCGTACCTACAGACGCACGACCGTGCGTGCGAGGCAGTAGCCTCTGGTCATTTTCCGCGCAGACGCACGCCGTGCGTGCAGGTAAGGCACGCCGTGCGTGGGACGCACGATCGTGCGTGACCAGCTACGCACGATCGTGCGTAGCCGGCAGTGGCGGACTCCGAATTTCTCACGCACGCACGACCGTGCGTGCCACCCAGGCACGCCGTGCGTGGACCCCCAACACCCGAAACATGATTTTTTCGCCCCGTTCTTCTACGTTTGGACCCCCGTTTGATTCCAAACATTAGTATGAGCCTAATAACCTCCTAAAGATGTGTTAAAACATTAGAAAATGTATCTTACATGTGTATAAATGTAGGAACATTAAAGATCAATGGTAGGTGTGCGAGGATCCTCATCGATACCGGGGCACAACGCTCATTTGTGAGTGAGGCGTTCGCTGAGGGCCTTGACGTGCCATTGACACCTATGACGCAAACATTGCTAGTCTCCACACCGTTAGGAGACGACGTGGAGAGAAATCATTACTATCCGTCGTGCGAGGTAGAAGTGACGGGTCAACCTTTGACTTGTGATTTCGTACCTCTAAGCATGTTGGAGTTCGATGCAATCCTAGGAATGGATTGGCTCGAGAAACACCATGCTCGAGTAGATTGCTACACCAAGGTGTTAGAGCTCGAGGATGATCAAGGAAACACACTATGTTTCGAGGGAGATCGGGGGAAATCTAATGCTTGTATAATATCCGTGATGAGAGCACGGAAGATGATGAGGAAGGGATGCCACGCATACCTTGCCTACGTGGTGGACGATACCAAGAAGGAAGTCGACATCAAAGATGTACAGGTCGTGTGCAAATACCCGGATGTCTTTCCCAAAGACCTACCGGGGCTTCCACCCGATAGAGAGATAGAGTTTGTAATTGAAGTGGAGCCGGGAACCAAACCCATTTCGATTCCTCCTTATCGAATGGCACCGGCCGAACTTCAAGAGTTGAAGGTCCAACTACAAGAATTATTGGACAACGGTTTCATCAGACCCAGTCATTCACCGTGGGGAGCACCCGTACTCTTCGTAAAGAAGAAAGATGGTACACTAAGAATGTGTATCGACTACCGACAGTTGAACAAGGTCACCATCAAGAACAGGTATCCTTTACCTAGGATTGATGACTTGTTTGATCAACTTCGAGGGGCCATAGTATTCTCGAAGATTGACTTGAGGTCGGGGTATCATCAGTTGAAGATCAAGGAGAGCGACATACCTAAAAGTGCATTTCGCACTAGGTATGGTCATTACGAGTTCCTTGTGATGTCATTTGGTTTGACCAACGCACCGGCGGCATTCATGGACTTGATGAACCGGGTGTTTGTGATAGTATTCATTGATGATATCTTAATATACTCCAAGAGTGAGGAGGAGCACGAACATCACTTGGGGCTTATACTTGATCGGCTAAGGGAAAAACAACTCTTTGCCAAGTTCTCTAAATGCGAATTTTGGCTCAAGGAGATTGGTTTTCTCGGTCACGTCATATCCGGTTCGGGCGTTGCTGTGGATAACGCCAAGATAAAGGCTATCATGGATTGGGAGAGACCCAAGAATGTGAAAGAGATACGTAGTTTCCTTGGCTTAGCGGGATACTATCGTAAATTTGTTGAAAAATTTTCTGTATTGGCGTCTCCATTAACGAAGCTCACAAAGAAAGGGGCCAAGTTCATATGGGACGACAAGTGTGAGAAAGGGTTCCTTGAACTGAAGAAACGACTTACCGAAGCACCAGTCCTTGCCCTACCCATACAAGGGATAGGGTATGATATATACAGTGATGCTAGCATCCAAGGGCTTGGATGTGTACTGATGCAAAACGGTAAAGTGATTGCCTATGCTTCAAGGCAATTGAGAAAACACGAGGTGAACTACCCTACTCATGACCTAGAATTGGGGGCGGTAGTGTTTGCACTGAAAATCTGGAGGCATTATCTCTACGGGGAGACATGTCACATTTTTACAGACCATAAGAGCTTGAAGTACGTATTCACTCAGAAAGAGTTGAATATGAGACAGAGGAGATGGATGGAGTTGATCAAGGACTATGACTTGATCATCGATTACCATCCAGGAAAGGCCAACGTCGTGGCCGACGCACTGAGCAGAAAGAGTACGTCGGGGACGCTACTCACATGTCTACAGGCATTGAGGGCGCGCGTGGAGGTGTCCACGTGCGGGGCTCTCATTGCTCGATTCGAGGTTAGGCCCACCCTATTGGGCGAGATTAGTCGAAGTCAGGCCATTGATGAGGAATGTCAGAAGATCCGTGAAAGGATCCTGGAAGGACCCGTTGAGAATTTTCGGGTACGTGATGACGGTCTTTTATTGTTTAAAGATCGTGTGTGCATACCAAGGAATGAGGAACTCCAGAAATCTATACTTGAGGAGGCTCATTCTTCGGCTTATGCTATGCATCCAGGAGGTACTAAGATGTACCGAGATTTGAAGGAAAGTTATTGGTGGTCAGGTATGAAGAGAGACATCGCCGAGTATGTGAGTCGATGCCTTACTTGCCAGCAAGTTAAGGCAGAACATCAGCACCCGGCAGGGCTCTTGCAGCCACTCACCATCCCAGAGTGGAAGTGGGAGCACGTGACCATGGACTTCGTGGTGGGGCTACCACGAACGGTGAACAACTATGATGCAGTTTGGGTAGTGGTTGATAGGCTCACCAAGAGTGCACACTTTTTGCCTATCAACATTACTTATCCTCTTGAAAGATTGGCCAAGCTTTACACGGAGGAGATTGTGAGATTACATGGAGTCCCGATATCCATTGTCTCGGATAGGGATCCACGATTCACATCCCGATTTTGGCCAAAGTTTCAGGCATCTTTGGGAACTAAACTGAAGTTTAGCACAGCTTTTCACCCACAGACCGATGGACAGTCCGAGCGGGTGATACAGATTTTGGAAGACATGCTTAGGGCATGTGCGTTGGAGTTCCAAGGAAGTTGGGACAAACATTTGGCCCTAGTGGAGTTTGCTTATAACAACAGTTATCAAGCAAGTATTGGCATGCCTCCATATGAGGCATTGTATGGGAGGAAATGCAGGACACCGTTGTGTTGGGACGAGGTTGGCGAGGCCAAACTCGAAGGAATAGAGCTGGTTGAGATCACCAAGGCCAAGGTAAGGATCATTCGGGATAGATTGAAGGCTGCTCAGGACCGACAGAAGAGTTATGCTGATAAACGGCGGAGACCGTTGGAGTTCGAAGTCGGTGATGAGGTCTTTCTAAGGATTTCTCCTTGGAAGGGCATCATCCGATTCGTATCGAGGGGGAAGCTTAACCCCCGATACATAGGTCCGTTTGAGATCCTTGAAAGGATCGGGGCCGTGGCTTACCGACTCAAGTTGACGCCTGAACTTGAGAAGATACATGACGTGTTTCATGTATCAATGCTCAAGAAGTACATACGAGACCCATCTCATGTTCTTGAGAAACCACCGGTAGAGATCCGTGAGGACTTGCAATATGCGGTGGTACCAGTGAAGATTGTTGGTCAACAAGTGAAGAAGCTTAGGAATAAGGAGATTCCTATGGTAAAGGTTCTTTGGAGGAGTGATCGAGTCGAAGAAGAAACTTGGGAGACCGAGGTCTCAATGAGGGAGCAATACCCATTTCTTTTCGATTAGACACTTGGATTTCGGGGACGAAATCCCAAATAAGGGGGGGTGAACTTGTAACACCGTCCCCAAATATATTTACTTTTATGTAAATAATGTATTGAACCTTATTAAAGGATTAATGAATTTACGAAGTTGTAAATTTTTATTATTTCTTTCGCGTGAATAGTAAATTGCACGTGGGACCCACACCGGGAGCGGGGGCCGCCCGATATCCCCGAGATCACATAAATTATCATTATGGGTCGAAATAACATTTATATGGTGGTGGACATCTTATTTGGCCATGGGAAGGCCTGGGGTTGACCGATTGGTCAAAAGAAGCCCAATTACCGGTACCGACAATTAAACAGATAACAGCCCGAAAATGAATTTCGGAGACTTCCAAATTAAAGTTTTGGAATATATATTATTTCAAAAGGGAGTTATGATGGGGAACACATAATATATTTTATTTTACCCGATAAAATAAATTATGATTAAAACAGTCCGAAAAATACAACTTTCGGGACCGATTGTACACACCGGGACACAAAGGGATGACCTCCCACATGAGTGGGGGCCACCCCACGTTTTTTTGTGCTGTAACAACAAGGAAGGGCCTAGGTTGACAAAGGATTGAGTGGAGGAAGGTGCAAGGGGGCCCTTTGACCTCACTCATTTGCCAAAGGAGACAAAAAGGACACCCCAACCTCTCCCCTATGCATTATTTCGGCCTAGCTACCAAAGGAGGAGGAAGAAGAAGCTCTCCAACCTTTCTCCATTGCTGCAACTCGAGCTCAAGCAAGAGAGGTCCAAGGAGTGGGATTAAAGAAGGAAAAAGGCTAGGAAAAGTGTGTAAATTAAGGTAATGACCTCATTATAACTTTTCCTTTATTTTTCTCCTACCATATGAGATATATATCATGTGAAGAATCCTTAAGAGGGTTCTACATGTTATAAGTATGGATTTATGGGTTGGGAAGTGATTCTATGTCCAAGAACGGTCTTAGAAGCCAAAACGACCGGTTCACCGGAAAATAACCTTTTTGAGGTTATTTGTATTAATATGGGTTTTATGATTATAAAACCTTGTTAGGAACTTGTGAAAGGTATTTCAAGTGATTTCACAAAGTTGGAAAAGTCGCCGGAGTTGTCGCCGGAGTTGACCGAAAGTCGCCGGAGTTTCACCGGAGTTCAACCAAGAGGGGTAGAACTTCATAACGCTAGTTCAAGGTGAGTGGACGGCTTAATATCTTATAACTTTTGGGTTAATTATGAGATTACCTAAATAAATGTTATTTGTTTTCATAATGATGTTTAAAAGATATTTAAACATGTGATTAGCCAACATTATCAAGTGTATGAAAAGAATTAATTGATTATGCATGAAATATGATATGAGAGATTATATATAATGCACATTAGCTTGAAGTGTAAAAGAAGCTCAAATGAGTATTATTGACTTAATTATATGATGATTAAGTTGATATGAACAAGGCTTGAATTGGCGGTCAACGACAACGTTGACCGATGGATGATGGATTAATTAATATCGGTTGATGTTAGTTAATTATACATTTATTTAAATGCATGGCTTTGCATGGATTGTGATACATAAGACTTATGTATTGGATTAGTTATGAGTAACTAAGGATGATATAGACTCTATCTAGGTTGATAGGAGGTTGATCATAGGAAAACTTGGTGGAGGACCCTAGTACTTAAAAAGTACTTAACACTCAAACTTGGTGGAGGACCCTAGTACTTAAAAAGTACTTAACACTCAAACTTGGTGGAGGACCCTAGTACTTAAAAAGTACTTAACACTCAAACTTGGTGGAGGACCCTAGGACTTAAAGTCCTTAACACTCAAACTTGGTGGAGGACCCTAGTACTTAAAAGTACTTAACACTCAAAACTTGGTGGAGGACCCTAGGACTTAAAAGTCCTTAACACTCAAACTTGGTGGAGGACCCTAGTACTTAAAAGTACTTAACACTCAAACTTGGTGGAGGACCCTAGGACTTATGAGTCCTTAACACTCACAAACCGGTGGAGTATCCAAGGATTATGATCCTAAAACTCATAGATTGTGATATACAATTAGGGACAAGGAGGAGTCCTATACACTCATAGGTATATGGGTGGGTTGGGGTTTTTAGTCAAGAATATTGACTATTACTATTTTCCCGAATAAAATGGTGATCCACGGATCGGATATTTTCCAAGTATATATATACTAATAAGCATTTCATAACTTGGGGGAAAGATTATTTATTTAAGTATCACCCTATGTTTGGGTCTTATACTTGAAACGCTAGTTATTCTATATTTAGCCTGCTACTCGCTCGGTACTTGTGCTGACCCCTTCGGGGGGCCCCACCATTTTCAGGTTGAAGCTAGAGCTTGCTACTTGCACCTTCTCACGGGTGATATCACATCAGGAAGACGTGGTTCGTGCTTCCTTATTTTCTTTCAAACTACCGAACACTTGCTCATGGATATTTGTTTTACTATAAACACTTTTTGGGCTTGCATGCCCATGTTGTTGGCCGGTTGTGGCTCATGACTTACCGTTGAATATTTCCGCTATTCATTGGTTTAAATGTGATGTTGTTATGTATGTTTACTACTGAGTATGGATGAATTGTTTTCTCGAACGCCTTGTGTAATTAAGTGAGGTTGACCCGTGGGTGACGTCACTTAGTTATACGGCGGTTGTACACGCGCTTGGATTGCGGTCTGGGGCGTGACAATTAAGTGGTATCAGAGCCATCTCAGTTCTAAACTATATAACCAACCTCTCACAGGAGATTTTACAAAAGAGTTTTCACCGAAAACCATGAGCACTGTATTTTGACGTTTATGGGACTATTGGAGCTTAAGTTGCAAGGCCTCTAATTGTTAAGACGGTACCCTTAACAATTGGTATGGTAGTGACTTGGGCCAATACGCGTCTATAACGTTCTTCCGTCAATTGACATTTATAGGAGTCTAATGACTCACCCATATTTCTTTCAGAAATTGGGGGCAGGCGAATGAGGACCAGGAACAATCCGAGGGGGCAGGCGCCGGTAGCATCCCAAAGGGGAAGCCGGGCTGCATCTCGGGGTTCGAGAGGAGGCCGGGGAGGCCGTGGAAGCCGTGGAGGTCATCAAGCTCAAACTGTGAGTGATGGCCATGTGAGCTCGGTGTATGAGACCAACACCGAAGACTACGACTCAACCTACGTGCCAGAGACGGAGCATGAAGAGACCCCGTATGATGGGGGTGACACGTACACCGATTGTCGACTAATTTTGACATCTCTATGCATAGTCGATTTAATTTTCTTTTAAACACTAATTGATGAATTCATGTACAGTTCATTTTTCCGACAATTTTAATAAAAAACTTTGGGAACATATTTCCCGTACAGTGCACAGGTACACATACTAGTTAAATATACTAGTTGAATATATATAGTAGGGTGGAGCTAGGTGTACACAAAATTTGTACACAAATTTTGTACACTTGTCTGTCTCTCACAGAAAACTCATCTTCGGACAGACAACTTGTTTGTGAGGGACAGACAAGTGTACAAAATTTGTGTACAAATTTCTATATAGTATCCACCGGAAAGACCTTACCTAGGCGTGTCTCACCCAAAACGAATCATTCGGTGGAAGGTTCATCCAAAACCAAACCATTAAGACGAATCGACCCGATCGAAATGAACAGCTTTGTTTGCATCCCCATCTAAGCCGACAGACAATTAGTGAAGTAGCTAGTTTGTTCAATGGAACCGTTTCGGTTTGAAGTTAAACTAAGTAACCAATCCACTCAATTTAAGTGCTACGGAGTATAAAACAGGTTCTATATTAATCAAGACTTTTGTCACTTATATAATCAATACTTTTAAAGACAGAGGTTTTATGTACGGTTATACATACGGAGTATATCTTTTGCTAATAAAAATCTCCACACATGCATGAGTTCATGATACACCACGCTCCAGGAATCTATTGTTGGAGAAATTCAGCCGGATATACCTGCAAAAAAGCGTTAGAAAAATAATCTAGCTCGAGACGCGTCAAACGCTGTCCTCAAGAAAGTATTTCCGACTAGCGAAAACCTTTCCTCAAGATATAACGAGCTCTTCGGCGTAAGCCGGTAACAGAACAACGAGAATAGAAAATAATGTTAATCCATTAGAGTAATTTTGTGTGAGGGAGTTTTAGCTCGTATTTTTTATCTAAAAAATAATCTATTTTCGCACTGAAAAACTCCTGGCCGAACACACACACATATATATTACCGGTAGTACCGAACCTTCAACCATGGGCGGATGGTAGTTAGGGCAGGGGTGGGCTTCAGCCCAGCCCAAAAAAAATAAAAATAGTTAGTATAGGTATATATTAAATTCTGAGCCCATCCTAGAATAATTTCCCAGCCCAGCCCACTGCCCAGCTTCTCAGACTTGCGAAGCCTTAAGAGATTGGAGCTTCGCGTAAGACTAATAGGCATTAGCGACGAAGAAGAAAGAACGTTGAGGGAGCACCGGAGCAGACTGCAGACAGAGCTTGGATCTGCGACGCGGAAGAAGTGAACGACTCCAGTCTCCAGCCGCGCCGCCGACGTCGTCTGCCGACTCCGGCAGTCCGCCTCTGCGCGGCGACTGCGCGTCTGCCTCCCTCCAGGCTCCAGGATTCCAGGTAAACTCAAAAAACAATTTCTTTTTTAGATTTTTAATTTATTGTTTTAATTGATTTGGTGTTAGATTGTAATTTCACTGATTTGTGAATGTGTCAATGTTTTATACGGTTATACAGGCCAGAGCAGAGGGAGTCTAGCGAACATCAGTCGATAATTGGAGAATGCTTTATTTATTATATAATTTGATGATTCTGTGATAAAATAGTACATAATATGATTTATTTACTATGCAATTGAAGGTTAGAGAATGATTTATTTACTATGCAATTTGATGATTAGTACATAATAAAATAGTGTTTATTCTGTGATATTCTGTGATTTATGAATGATTGGAGAATGATTTATTTAATATGCAATTGAAGGTTAGAGAATGATTTATTAATTGTATGGACATGTAGAAACTAGAAAGAATTAAAATTTTCAATTGAATTTTGAAATTGAGATTACTTATTAATCTATGTACAACGATTTTTTTCTCTTAAAAGTTTTATAAATTTATAGAAGTATTTAGATTCATACCAATATTGAAAATGCTTTTTAGAATGGATAATGAACATATTGTCAAGAAAGGAAAATAAATTTACTATACTCGATAGATTTTAAAATTGAGTACGAAATTGACCTTGATTTTGACTCGATAAATTTTAACGCTTGATAAATATGCTCGAATGTAGAAGTTTAGACTATACTTGTTAATAGATTCATGTTCGAATTATTCAATAAATACCAAATCTTTATTAATCGTTAATATATTTATAAAATAGCATTATAACATTAAGATTTTAAGAAATTTATTCCTATAATTTATTAAAAAAATTATAACATCACTATGTTCAAACTTGGTTTGAATAACTATTCAAACTCAAACCTAGTCCGTGTTCGAGTTCGAATCTTGTTAACTCGGGTCATTAAATTAGATTCAAAATCAAGCTCGAAATCGAGTATAAAATTCCAAAAAAGCTTGATTCGATAACAGCTCTGAGCAAAACTTTGCATATATGAAAACTATTTTTTACTGCTTAGCCCACCCCACCTCTCAATCCTGGATCCGCCCCTGCCTTCAACCTTGCTTTTCAGATGATAACGTTACTATATTAACTGAGTTAATGTTGAGCTATTAATTAACTTTACTCCCATGGACGTTGAGAAAATTAGGAGATTCAACAGTCACTTTCAAAAGCTCATCATTAACCAATGAAGTCTAATAATAATGTTTAACGTTTCCAAAGTAAATAACAATTAATGTGCTACGGTTATTATTTTGAAGAACTCAATGAACATTAAAATAATTTTTAATACTATACAAGAATATCTTATTTATAATATTGATTTATAAGGTAATATTATTATAAATTAAGAGATAATAATTTTAGATGTTTCATTCATTTGAAATACTCTTATTTTTCCAACATTTATGTACAAGCTATGACGGAGTGAAGCTCAGTGTAACTTAATTTTTTTCAAATTTTTAGTGTAAATTTTTGGGAAAATTGTCAAATCAGTCCACCTACTATTTCAAAAAAGTTAATTGGGTCCATGTACTATTTCTTTAATCGATTAAGTCCACCAACTGTCAAAAAGTAATCAAATTTGCTTTTTACCCGGTAATTGACGGGTTTCCCCTTTAATTGGCCTATGTGGATCGTCCACGTGGCTTTTTTCCTAATAAGCACTTCTTAATTTCCCTGCCACGTCCGATGGGATATGCTAAGCACTTCTTAATTTCTACAACAGTGATTGAATTTGGATTCCCATAATAACTTAGTTTTATATAAGTAGACTAATAAAAGACACAATCACAACTACTCCGTATATATATGACTAAAATGAATGCAGTTGCTTAAAAATATGAAATTTTACACTAGAAAAGTAATATTCCCTCCGGTTTTTTTTAATATTCACAGTTTGACTTAACACAAAATAAAAAAATAAATTTGACTTTACTATAGAATACACTGTTGAGGCACTGTTTGACACTGTTTGGAATTGTTGAGACGCTGTTTGGCACTGTTTTGATGTAGATTTCTTTGCCAAAAAGGAAATAAGGAAGTGTGAAGTTTATTGTAGACCGTCCCAAAAAGGAAAGTGTGAAGTTTATTAAAAACCGGAGGGAGCATAATACTTCTTCCGTATTTATAACTTCGCTACAATAGCATTGAGCACATTATTTAAGAATTAAATAGTAGGGGTGATGGATAGTGTGTAAAAAGTAGGAGAGAGTGTATAAAAGTACAATAGAGAAGATAAAAAATAGAAATGGTAAGACTAGTTGTTATTTTTTAAAGGAAATACTTACCAAAAAGGGAAAGTGTAACAAACTTTTAAATACATCCCAAAAGAAAAGTGTAACAAACTTTAAAATACAACTTATAATTAGTAATCGGATCATATGATCCAATTTTACACTAATGATCATGACAATACAATAATGATAAATTTTATACCATCGATCTTTAATTATAGGGAAAATGGAAACTAATAATCCAACCTTTTAGCGGTCTTCTTTCAATAATCCCGCCTTTTGATTATTCATGAATAATCCAACATTTGCACCTCATCTTCATTCATTGGTCCCTGGTCAGTTAATGGCCTACTATTCCAAGTTATTTTCTTATCTTTCCAAAATATTATCTTTGTGAAAGATGAGATTTATGGTATAATGATTTGCAAAGATAAGAAAATAGCTTGGAATAGCAGGTCATCAACCGGTCAGGGACCAGTGAATGAAGATGAGGTGCAAAGGTTGGATTATTCATGAATAATCAAAAGGTGGAATTATTGAAAGAAGACCACTAAAAGGTTGGATTATTAGTTTCCATTTTGGGTTTTTTACAAGAATATTACTAAAATAAAACATATTTACATAAATATGACTATTCATTACTACAATGTGGTGTTGTGGTAACTTAAGATCAAAACTTGAACATGAATTACTATGATTTCATTACTACTCTAGTCAATAATCATACTTTTGTAAATCATCTTTATTTTGGTCATATTTATGTAATTATTTCTTCCATTTTCCCTTAATTATATCTATAGGTACATTTCATTCATATTTAAAAGCAACTCATTGTTTCAACTTAAGAGTTAAGAGTGACTAAAAGTCCAGAGTCTTTGATTATTAACTACTCCTACTAGTCTACTACAGTATCGATTTTCCTTAGCTTGAATTTGGGCGTCCAAGGGGACAGTTTTATCACAAACTTTTTCTTTTGAATTTGTTTCTTCAAATATTTATTGATCTAAAGATAAGAACGAACGAATGTGAAAACAATATGTTGTATTCAACCATGACATGTGCAATTGCAGTGCATAGTAGTCTGAGGATGTTTTCTTTTGGACTGTTTTCAGTCCCAGACCAGACCAGACCAGACCAGACTTAAATAAACCAGACCAGACTTAAACAGACCGGACCAGACCAGACCAGACTTTTGTAGTTATAAAATACAAGGGACCAGACGTTTACCAGACCAGACCAGACCGGGTCAAATGCATAAATGGTACCTTAACTATTGGTAATGTTGCATTTTGATACCTTAACTCTTAAATGAATCAAAACGGTACCTTAACTATACATAAATGTTTCAAATTGAGATTTATTCAAATTTTTAACAAAAAAGTCATTCATGACGATCAAAATTTCATGTGCAGAGTCACCTATAGTGATCATATGGACAAAAATAAGGTAAAGTAGACTTTACG